GTCTTAGTAACTCGTTAAATGCTAAGTGATGGTAACAGTATGTATGTGCATATGGTCACAGCTGTAATATTAATATTAAAAATATAATATTTGTATCGTACTAAAATACATACTTTTTTTTATTTACAGATGCTCTGGCGACAAGATAAAATGGGACCGTGAAAAATGTTCACAACTGTTATCTTCACTGTCAAACGGGATGGATAAATTCGCCAAGGGGTTGGCCGATATCATGAACACTCATGGTGTATCGTGCATCTACGTTGCCTACTTGCCGTATTCACAAGTGAGTAATAACATTTTCAAATAAGTCATGTCAGGCGCTGGTGTATGCTTGACTTCATTTAAAGATACGATATGATCTATGACGAACGAATACACAACCAAATCGATATGTCTAGTTAAATGCCATTGTTCACATTATATTGAAGTTGCAGACGTATGCTTTCTTACACGGAGCTTCAAGCCAGATTTCAGTAATCCTACTCCATATACTAATCAAAATATTGTGTACTGAAATAACACATAAGTGACTGTATATTTGGGAGAGAAAACGGGGACAAATGGATGATCGGTATCTGTGTGTGGACGGGCGTGTTTTATATATGTACAACGTTTTATAGGCAGTGTACCTGTGGATTATTAGCAAACCGTGGCGTCTTGTTTTGTACCATAACTAGATTAATTTTGATATTCCATTTTTATGATTATTTGGAATATGTTAGTTATCATATCGTTAAATGCAGCGTATGTACACTAGATGGACAATAAAATAACCTAATGACTTGGAATATTTGAGGCACAACGGTACACCCTTCGGCCCGGGGAGGGAGAAGTTATATAACCTCATTAAATGCACAAATGTAATTCTGAGCAGCAAGCTGTTATAAACATTGATGAGGAATGTCAGATGTATTAATCCCTAGTAACCATGACAACACCAATGGCAATATGTTCAAATATTATCTATTTTCAGCACCTCTGTCAATGAGTGGCATAGTTCACATAACTTCTTGTTTATCGTCAGTTTCTCGGCACTTAAATGTACGTCTGTGAAAACCAATAACATGATTACTTAGATACCAGATACGCCTTTGTATAAGTCTATTTGATTTAATAATGTGTATGATCTTTAGCAAACAATCACTTGTTCATAAATTTAAATACTTTCTATTCCAGTAAAGATGTTCATACACTATGTATCTTTATCGTTGCTCATGATGTGCGGATATAAGTGTAAATGTCACTAAATGCATAAATGCATGAAAACATTTCAATAGACAAGCCCAAGTTTACACTACATTTTTTATTTGTTCTATTTTCAATGTATACAATATGTACATTTTTAACATGTAGCGGAAATAATGATGGTCTTTTTATCAGTCTTGACAATAAAATTGATCTCTGCAATTATTCTAGGAGATAATTAACGTATTATCCAAAAGATGTCCTATATATCATCATCCTCTGACATCACTAAGATTAAATCACAGGAAGTAACGTCGCTTGTTGAAGACGATTACATGTTTTCATTACTAGAACAAGAAATATGTTATCGTGAGTATATGTATATATAAATATTAGGAAAGCAATTGAAATTCAATTAATCGCTTTAATGTGAAAACTTACAGGATGGTATTGTATTTTAACAAGGTCAAAGTATTGTAAGTATGATGTCGTTTCTCTGTCACGTGATCAAGATGTCCATCGAGGGGAGTGCGGCATTCACAGCATTGGTGGTGCTCAACTGTTAACCGAATTGACAAGCTGCGCAGCATGCCATTAAAGCGGGAGGGTCATCACCTGCGCACGCGCGGGAATTGAGTCCAATGCGACGATAACAACACACGCTAAGAACGGAAAAGCTCATGGGTAGGCGCTTGTTTGTAAACAATGACACGCTATGGACACTTGACGCATGCGTAAGTGACGAATCCCCCGCTTTAACACTTATCCGTTAAAACTGAACCATGCTTTATCAAATATTAAAATAATTAACAGTGTCCAAACGCAATGTGTATTTCATATCTGTGATTGCAATACTGTACAAATCATTGTTTGTTGTATACAGGTGCAAGAGTATTTGTCGGCTCAGCGTGGTCGAATTGGGCTAATTTTGTGGGATTAGAATTCGAAGCAGAGGATAAACCAGTTTATTATTTACATGGAGTACGTGGATCAACAACGGAACCGATGGCGAATATATCGTAAGTTAGGTTTATTGCAGGTTACTGGGCCAAATTAAAAAATACACAAACGGTTTAACGGACATATGCGAAACATATAAACTATATTGATATTTTGTTTTATAAACATCCGAATTATCTTCCACATTTGATATGTTGACAAAGACAAATACACACGAGCGTGATTCAGCTAGGTGAATGTTGCCAGTAAATCCATTGTTATATAAATGTTACTAATCACCAATTTAAGTCGCATCTCAGCAAAATATTGTTTTTGTATTAATTAGCTACATTATTGCAAGTCTGTATTTAAGCCGTACTCGTGTACAGCTGGTAGGATATTGGAAACGTCCATTTGAAAACAATTTTTGTCATCATGGTTCATCGGTTTGCCCACCAATACGCGCTTACATGCTTTATTGCAAAGTCCTTGCTCCCCGTGGCAAGGCAATTTGTTTTATTATTATTGCATTTGTTTGTATTATCAAGTCCCACTAAAACGATGATTCGTCCCCAGTCAAAATCAATCCGTGTCGATATGCTAGTTTAATGGTTTTTTTTGTTTGTTTGCTAGATTTGTACAGGATGATCCAGATGTACCTCGTCCCTGAATGTCAAGAAGCGTCCACGAGAACACATGTTTAAATAGTTGTGTTGAACTCAATTTTACGAACCAGTTTTTGGCTTTTGGAGGGGGGGGGTCCTACGTTTTTAGCGCGCGTTGTTTGTTTACACAAAACTGTGTAACGAATAGCTTTTTTACTGCGCAATGTCGTTAACGTGCCATACAATATTGTGCTCTTTTTACACAATTTATGTTATAAGCTCACCCATATTTGTGGATGAGTTAAATGTTATGCTTAATTCATCAGCCCCACAGTGCACAGTTTCATGAGAACAACGTCCGTATAACGCCCGTCATGGCAGTTATTACCCGCTGCTCTGAACAGTCAAGGTGACACGATTATACTCGTAACATCTGCACCTCGGTATAAAATGCAAATTATTGCATAACAATTTTGTTCGCACACCCTATGTCTTCTAACACAATTACATTTATTTCACTGTACATCAAGCACAATTTGTTAGTTGCATGTGGAACATTTTGTAATAAAATTAACGAAGGTTAAGCTACTTTCATCTCTTTGTGGGTTTCTGGTTCGAGTGATTCTTTGTCCGATTATGTAGCAGCTTGTAGGCTCGTTCGAAAATTGTCACATAACGTACAGGGTCGCCGTCTCGTGCATACATACCAATAGGAAGTGATTTTTAGCGATTCTATTTATCGTAAATGATCTATGAATTTCATTTATACTCGAAAAGTCGGTTGGTAAATGCGTCACTGACCCCTGTTTTCGCCAATATCTACGCATCTGTGGCGCATATGTGACCGATCTGTGATCCTGCAAGTCACTAATATTTATCTCCAAAATTGTAAATATTCTATATATGATTCGCAGACATCGACAAAATCCATTTGACGTACATTTTTTATTTTATTTATTTATATTTATAATTGTGATAACTATAGCAAGGCAGGTGGCTCATAACAAGGCATTTTACAAAACAATTTTTACAATTCATTTACATTTTGAAAATCCATTTTAATTTTATAATCCTTTTTAATAACTATTTTTGGTTCTGAAATCGATTTTTTTAAACCCACTTTCGTTTCTGAGATCTGTTTTTATTTTTAAAACCAATTGTTTAAATCCATTTTCGTTTTAAAAACCCATTTTTTGTTTTTAAAATCTGTTTTCATATTTAATATCCATTTTCGTTTTTAAAATCCATTTTCGTTTTATAAATCCATTTTCGTTTTCAAAATCTATTTTCGTTTTCAAAATCTATTTTTATTTTTTAAAATCCATTTTTGTTGACCTTTGAACTATAGGTATATATATATATATATAAGTATTTTTCACCTTTGAGCAAATTTTCCATCAGAATTTACTGAAAAAAATAACTGTTGTTTTCTCGCATATCGCATTAATTTGAACATAATTGTTTTTTAAGAGATTCTCATTTCGATTCGATATTCGATTTATGTTCAATATCATTTCAGCTTGACCCTGATAGTTTTTTTTTATTTTCACCAGTGACGTTTTCATAGTAAGGGTTCTTTACGTAAGTTCTACTTCAGACTATAACTTGTTTAGCCGTGGTTCCGATGTGTTTGGGGGTCAATAGAGGGTTCTTTGCATCATCTCTCGTTATACACTGCAGTGTCGAATGCATTTGTGGTCCGGCATGTACACCAACGACGGCTTGTACACTGTCTCGTATAACGACAATACCTTATCTGGTACCAAATGCAGCGGAATTACGGCTATAACTAATGCCATGTTGTGAGCCTCCTCCAGCGATTTTTGTCCGCCACGTACGTTTAAAACAATGTAAGTGAGTTGCAGGTGGTGATTCCCAACACGTATCTACCGTTCATGATGAATTGTTTTAACGAAATAATAAACATAATTTCAATTGGCTATAAACAAAACTATTTGTTGAATAATTGTCTGATTCAACTACGGTTTATTTATTTATTTATTTATTTATTTATTTATTTATTTATTTATTTATTTATTTATTTATTTATTTATTTATTTATTTATTTATTTATTTATAAACTAACCAGGATTACGTGTTGGTATTGTATTAAATACAAATCAAGTGAAATCATTATGAAACCAATATTACCTGACCCAAATCAGGTTACAGTTACTTGTATTATTTTCAACATGCATGGATATTTAAATGTTATGTACTTTAATCCTCTTTTATTTTAAGGTAACGTTAACAATATCAACGCAAACTTTTGAATTGGAGAACTTGCATTTAAACAATAGTATATTTCGAAAAAAAAAACACAGACCGAACATTGCTATCAACCTTTATTAGCTCCTCAACAATATGTGATTCATATCAAACAAAACATAGTTATAATCTCCAATTGTTGTTTGGCTACAACAGAGAGTCTTGTTTTTGAGAATTACCGATCATTTAGTTGAAGGCAGTGAAATCACGAAGGAATCTCTGGGATACTCCTTATGCAGAGAACACATTAAATTGTTTCTATATACAAATAGCTCAATAAGACATTTGCGTTCGAGCGCAGGAGATGAATTGCCGGGTGTTAGAAGGCTAACTGTTCT